GGACTTATTTTGGACTTGAGGAGGCTGGAGCAATGCTAAAGACATAGTAACTGTGTTCTGAGGTTATACACTATAAATCAATTGTGCATTGTGCTCACAAGCATAGGAACACCCAAACATCTAAAACTAAAATAAGGAATCAAATTCAAATAACAATGCAAAGCAAATTGAATTAACTGAAGTAAACAAATTTCTGCTATAATCTTATTTTCACTATAAAATTTGGCACTTCTCGTAGTTACTGTCATGGTGATATTGGAGGAGCACATGCCTACCCTCTTGTTTCTAGATTGCTGCAGCTCCTTGAAGAAAAGGAATATGTTTCTCATACAAATAAAAAGAGGATCACAAACTGAGAAATAATTTAAGGCCATCATCCCATACATATTTTCTTGAAACTTTTCAAAAATGAAAGGGAGTAACTAACAAAGTACCACAATGTCATATATCAGTACTATATATCCCAACAAATGAAACCACTACTTGAACATGGTACTGAAATTATATTTTGCAGCAACACCATGTGGCTAACTGTGAAAACCAACAATTGCCCATACAAATATAATATACAACAAAATTTACTCAACGAAAGTCCAGTAGTATTCAAAATCCTTCTGGCCTCTGCTGCAGAAACATACAGTTGAAAATGGAGACTGGTGAAATAAATTTCACAAATCGTAAATGATATTCAGTTAAATCTTCATAATGAGGTTCTTATCTTGATGATGAATTTGTATGAAGTGACAATCTTACAGGTAGCAAAGTGAAGTTGTTATCTCAATGTTGAATTACACTTAGGAAGCAATCTTTCAGGTATCTATTCTGGTAACAAAGCAAAATCTTTCAGATATCAATTCAGGTAGCAAAACAAAATGACTGCCTCTGGAGTTTTTTTAGCTATTTCTACATATGAATCTGGAGTTTTTTTTTAGCTATTTCTACATATGAATCTTCTTCAGTTGACATGAATCATACAGCTCAGCTTACAATAAACTCCAGAATTCAAAATTCAGGATGTAGTTTTCAACACTTCTTTAAATCGTTCTAAATGTATAAAAACAACAACATGAGATACATCTTATCTTCTTTTTTAAAAAGAAAAAGAAAAATATTTTCCATTTCTTAACATTGCAAGCTTACCTCTTTTCTAGAACAAGTTATTTTCCATTTAACAAAATCAATCTATTCCGTCTATTATTTCTGCAGGAAACTGTATATAAACTCTTAGTAATGGTATTCAGGTGTAACTATATTGCAGTAAATTCTCTTAAAGGTATTCTCTTCACAAAATTCTCTTCACAAAAATTAAATTCTCTTCACAAAAATACTTCCACTCCCAAGCACTGAAACCCTAGGATCTGGCTGAATCCCAATATTATCCACATACAATCCAATAATACTTCAGTTATGTCATAAAGTAATGTAATTAACATTCAAAAACTATATAATAATTTAATACTGAATCTGTATAATATCTGCTACAATTCTCATGAATACAACCCTGATTATAAATCAACAAGCTTAGGAGAGCATTGATAGAAACATTCCTCCAAAAAAAATACTATGTTTACAAAGTTATGTAATGCAAATGTTCAGCTACTTCAGACTACATCTAAATTATAAAAAGACTGATAAGTCTAAATGATCATTTAAACCATAAGTTTTACTTAATGACAGTTTCCAGATCCAAAAGGATTCACTTTGAAGAAGTTTGCTCTGTAAAGACACTCTATTAAAGGGATGAAACTTAATTTGTTCCATAATAAAAAAACTTGAAGGAGTCTGGAGGGTGGCCAAATTGAACAAAATGTTCTGACAAGGGGATGTCCAGACTGCCATGTCTAATTTTGCCCTTATGCTCAATAATTCTAGCTCTCAAATTTCTGGAAGTTTGGCCAACATAAATCTTATGACATGGACACAAAATTATGTAAATAACATTTTTAGAATTATAGTTGGTAAATGATCTTAAGCAGTGTTCCTTTGATATAGGATGTATGAAAATTTTAATTTCCAAAGACTGTACACAACAAGAACAGTGCCCACATTTATGGTGGCCTGTGGTAATTAAATTGTCCTGTTGAAGCTGCTATTGCTATTGCTGTTTATGTGGATAAAAGTCAGTATGCACAAATGGGTCTTTTATATTCATGTTTCTCCGTAACCCTATGATAGGTAACTTAGAACAACCTGGAACATTTTGAACCATAAGCCAATGTTTGAAAACAATCTTTTTAATATGATGAAAAACATGATTAAAAGTTAGGGAACCTATAATCCTATAATGTGTTGTCTTATCTGAGGATATAAAAATGTAGTTCTATTCCTTGACACTGCCCTATTACTAGCTTCCTTAATGATATGTTGTTGAAAAGCCCTATCAATCAGTTTCTGTGATTTCATGATGAATATCATTGGTGGAATTCCTCTTCAACCTTAAGAATTGGTTTCATTTGTTGGGATATATAGTACTTGGTGATATACAGTACCATGGTACTTTGTTAGTTTCTCCCTTTCATTTGTGGCATTTCTTTATGAAACCTTCCTGTTTGTAGTTGTTGCCTTGAAACTTTTCACCATTAAACTCAAAGCAGGTTTTATTTCCCATACCCAGAATCCCAAAATCCAAAATACTACAGAATCCAAAATTATCCACATGGGTAACTGAAATAGTGACACCTTTGCTTTGTTATGGTTCAGTGCACATAATTTTCATGCACAAAAGTATTGAAAATGTAATATATAAAATTAAAATTATCTTCTGGCTAAGTGTATATGAAACAGAAGTCAATTACATATTTAGACTTGGGTGCCATCTTCAAGATATCTCATTATGTATACATAAATATTCTAAATCTGAAGCACTTTGCATTTCAGATAAAGGAGACTGAACCTATACAACTTTTTAAAGAAAGCTAGTTTTTTGTTGAAAATATTAGATGGCAATATTATGCCCACTTACCTGGGACTAAGCCTAACTGAGCTCTAGGGGACTTGTGTCCGGCTGGATATGTATAGTATTGTGTTGTTAATATGAAATGATACATATTTCAGGAATCTAACATCTATGGAGAAATTGCACCAAAACCCAGATATTTTAACCCTTTAGGTCCTCTCAGTATTTTCACCCCCTTGGGCCCATTCACACTATACAATTATAGCACTGTTATTCCACTTTAAATAGTACGGTTCCATCTTATGGAATCCTGGGGTTTGTAATCTTGGTGAGGCACTAGAGTGCTATGACTGAGAATTTAAAATGTCATTCCTAAACTTCAATTGCCAGGATTCCAGAAGATGGAACCATGGCAGTTAATAGTGCTATATTGTTTAGTGTGAATGAGCCCTAGGTTTCCCAACTAGCCACTGTCCTGGGAGAAAAAGGCTGAATTCCTTATAGGTATGTACATTTATAGAACAAATGACATAGAGCTTGGTAGAACTTTCTTCATTCCTGCAGAAAAAAAATATCAAATGATATCTGAAGGAGTGTGGAGTGCATTGGGCCTTAGACTCAGCTGACTCAAATATTCACCTGACAACAGAGATAAATATAAGTTGCTACATTTGGGCAAGACAAATAAAATGTACAAATATAGGCGAGTGAAACCCAGGTTGACAAAAGTACATTTGAATAGCATGTGGGGTCTTAGTAAGACCACAAGCTAAACAAGAGTCAAGAGCATGATGCAGTGACCCAAAAAGTCAATGTAGTTCTAGGCTACATCAACAGCAAATGCAGTATCAGATCAAGGAAACTATTTTTTTGTTGTGTACCTTCAAGTTATTTCTGACTTATGTAAACTCTAAGGTAAACTGGACTTACTTGATAGAATTTGTTCAGAGTTTATTTTATTCCTCTGAGTCTGAAAGAGTGAGGGTTTCCCAAGGTTGTCCAATGGGTTTCCATAGCCAAGCAGGAATCTGAAACCTGGTCTACCAGTATCTTAGTCCTACAGTCAGCCCTCAGTATCCATGGACTTGCCATCCATGGATTCAAGCATCTGTTGTCCCTATTGGTGGCATGTGCTGTGCCACCACTGACAGCCCCCATTGTCCAATGGTGGTGCATGCATGTAGCCATGCCACCATTAAGTTCCACACATGCCACCACAGGACAATGGGGGCTATCCCTAATGGTGGCACAGCCACATACATGAGCCACCATTGGGGACAATGCGGGCTTGAACTTCCACAGATTTTGGTATCTGCAGGGGGTCCAGAACATATATCCCACAGATACTGAGAGCTAACTCTACCACACTGGCTCTAACAATATTTGGGAACTAATAATCCCATTCTATTCTGTTTTTATCAAACTTCACCTGGAATACTTTCTCCATTTCTAGGCAAAAAGGATATTGATGAGCTGGAATGTGTTCAGAAGATGGCAACAGAGATGGTAAAGTTCTGGAAAATAAACCCTATGAGAATGACATAGGGAGTTGGGTATGTTTAGTTTGGAGAAGAGAAAATGCAGAGGTGATATGACAGACACCTCTAAATATTTGAATGGAAGTCATATAGAAGATGGAGCAGGCTTGTTTTCTGCTGTTCCAGCAACCAGAACATTAACCAATAGATTCAAATTATTATAAAAGAGATTCCACCTTATCGTTAGGGAGAATTTATTCATATAAGAGCTGTTTGGGGCAGAATATAATGTCTCTGAAGGTTTCCTTCTTTGGACTCCTCCTTTAAATAAGAAGTGTACAGCCATCTCTTGGATGTACTTTTATTGTGTGCACAGGGTTGGCCCTTGGCCTTCCTTTCAATTCTATGGTTCAGATGCTGATCATTCCAGTAAGAATTGCAATAGGTTTTGAAAACGTGAGCAATACATCTGTGGTACACCTAGCAACAATGGCACTCCTTTCTTTCTTTCTTTCTTTCTTTCTTTCTTTCTTTCAAGTCATTTTCTGCTTATGGTGACCCTATCACAGGGTTTTCTGAGGTTGAGAGAGTGTGCCTTGCATGAGGTCACCCAGTGGCTTTTCATTGACAAGTGGGGATTTGAACCCTGATCTGCAGAGTCTTAATCCAACACTAAAAACACTATGCCACACTGGCTCTCATAATCCTCAAATACTGTAGTTACAGGGACAGAAAATATTTAGTACAGCAATATGTGATACCCCCCAAATGAAGGAAACTTACAAATTCTACTGCAATGCTGGAAACAGTAATCATAATAGCCAAAGTCAATTGTCAGGTCCAAGTGTCTAATCTAATGTGCGTATGTAATCTACTAAAAGCATTTTAAATCTTTCTGCCAGTACAATGAAAGCCCACAAATGGAGCCAGTGAATGAGAAGTGCATATATTTTTTTATAAGTCGCTAAAGGTCAATGCCACAGTGGTCTGTTTTAAGCTAAAGAGCATTCCAAAAAGTAAAAAAGTTTATCAGCCAGCTACCAGGACTAAACAGAACTCACGATGCTCTAGGTGCAGGCTAGAGAATGAACGACTGGGATAAAGAAAAGAAAAAATTTAAAATGAACAGGAGTATCTCTCTTTTGCTTTTTCCCCACTCTGTAAAACTGCATGGCATTGATTAACTTGAGTGTGTTTGTGTGTGTAAGCAGGGTCAGCCATGGTTAGTACTTGGATGTGAACTGCCAAAAAACACAACATGCCATATTTCACAGCCATGTAATGGCAAACCACTTCTAAGTGTTCCTTGCCCAAGAAAAGCCCTATGAAATTCATGGGGTCAAGCTAATCCAACATATGACTCAACTTTTACCCTACTTTATTTAGGAACACATTGCAATGGGACCTAAACCTGATGGTGCATCATTCTAGAAAGTATGTGGAAGGGATGGCATTGCTCACCAGAAGAAACCTTTCTCTCTCTCTCTTTTGTTTGTTTGTTTGTTTTGTTTGTTGTTGTTGTTGTTTTTGTTGTTGTGGAGTATCTAAGAATATTGTGTCATATAGGACATTCTGGAAAAATAAAATGATGATTGTCAGAAAAGTGATCATTGTGAAAAGTGACTGCAGTTAGACAAAAGTAAGTATCCACTCCGAAATGAGTTGTCAATGGAGTAGAATGGGAAAATGACAATGAACCCACTTGTATCCATTCATCACTTCTTTTTCACTCCTCATGGCTTTCTGAAAACTAACTGAAATATCCATTTCCTCCCATTCTTTTTGAGTAAATCCATACTTCAGCTTCTCAGAAATCATTGCAAGAGCCCAAGTGGCAAGTCAGTATTGGTCTCCACACACTGCAAATGGCACTTTGAAGCTGAGGATTAATTGTTTGTGGCAGTCACAGTGAATTTAAGCTGAGGTACATTTGGAGAAATAAGTTTTGTCAGTTCTCATTTCTAGTAATTTCTCTATACCAGCTTTTACAAAGGGTTTACACACCATCAAATTGAAGTTTTAATTCATTCAGAATGTGGGTATGTGAATTATGAACAGGGACATTCCTTCGGAATATGGGAATCCCAGTGATGACTCATGGCTTTGTGTTGAATCCATTCTGGGAGGTTTTATGTCTGAATTTTAAAGGTGTTATACAAGTTGCTGGATCTATTTTGGAGACAGTGTTCTCAAGAACTCCTTTGAAGTGCAAGCTAAAACCCAAAACTGGATTCATTTACAGGGAGGCCACAATCACCTTCGATAACTCCTTTGTTACTTTTATTACCACTGGCCACCAGCTTGTTTATGGACTCAGTTCAAAATGTATCATCCTTAGAGCCATGTTCACAACTTGAATCCCATATGCTACAAGGAACTGTGTTATCTGTGTGACTAACCAACTTTAGAGGTCAACTGAATGCCCTACTTTTCTCAGAAGTACATCCACTAGGAATCCAAGAGAAGATCTTATTATCCAACAAATATTTAACTTGGTTGAGTAGGTTATCACTGTTTAATTATTTGACTCACTCATTCATTGATCTCTTCCAGTGTGAACTTGTTTAAATTGACTGTCTTTAAGTTAACTGACCCTTTGACAGTGAGACTTACATGATAAGTCCCGCTGATTTCCTATTGTGTTCAAGGAAACTTTTTCACAAATAAGTGTGCAATACACAATGTCTTAATGCATTCAACAGTTCCCACTTACAGGTAAGTGTTTATAGGGCTACATTTGAACACTGCAATCCTAAATATATCTTTCTGGGAGTAAGACCCGTTGAGCAGAGCAGGAGTCCCTTCTCACAGAATAAGCAGAGATTGGAAAGCACCAATTTTAACCTTTTTTTCACCCAGTCCAAGCAAGAACTATACACTAGACAGGTGGGATATAAAATTTCCTATAAACAAACAAAACTACAACTGTCTACATTTATTTTAAAATGTACTGTCTACATTTATTGTACTGTCTACATTTATTTTAAAAACCCTATTATAATGTCTGCAGCTGCAAAGAGGAAATAAGATGCCCTGTTCCTTGGGAAAGAAATCAATTTAGAGCAGCTGATCACACTTTAAACCACCTGGCAAATCCCAGATACACAGCCAAGGGAAGCAGAGAGTACATGATAATGAGCCAGTGGATCAATCTACCTATCAGCAAAGCAAAGTTTCCAGAGCTGAATGTGTTAGACCTGATACTTAAGGTTTGAGAGGGAGGTTAATATCATTTTGGGGCTTTTTGCAGCTCAAGAAATGGCATTCTACAACACAATTCTGATAATTACTAGTTCATTCCAGACAGGATTTTAGGCTAGGGAAAAATACATTTCAGCTGTAGATTATAAGGCATATACTCTCTCCTTTTGCACTATAATGATAGTGGGGGAGGGTGGGAAAGAATTTGAGACAGACTGACACTGCTGATGCATAAGACATTGAGCACCACAAATAGGAAAATTTTGATAGCTTTAGACCATGGCTAGTACAGCTGCCTTTCTAAAGAAAAGTCATATAAACTGATTCAGGACTCACATTATACAGTTTTAGCCAGTATCTTATTATCCAATACCAAACAGTAATTTCCACTGATAAACATTGTATGGCTAATGATGGCACACAGTTTGGTACACAGGGCAATTGCCAGAGAAAAGCTGAAAGTATTTATTCCAGGGCTGAAGAAAAACCCAGAATCTAGACTGGGATGCCAAACAGCAGTTGTGGCAACATCTTGGGAATTTACACATTAGGAAAATTGGAAGTTTAAATGGGTCAGAACCTGCAGTTATCCAGCGTA